ACACACGTCATTTTTAAACACACACGTCATTTTTAAACACACGCCATTTTTTAAAAACACACACGTCATTTTTTTAACACGCACGTCGGTTTTTAAACACACGCCATTTTTAAAAACACACACATCGTTTTTAAACACACGCATCGTTTTTTCACACACGTTATGTTTTTAAACACACACGTCATTTTTAAACACACACCATTTTTAAAAACACACACGTCATTTTTAAAACACGTTTTTTAAAACATCCACGCCATTTAATATACACACATGATTTTTTTAAAGCACATACCATTAAAACGCACAGTCACGCCGTTTTTTGTTTAAATGCACACATCATTTTAAAACACACACGCCACGGCCTCCAATACGTGCGTAATTTTGAATTATTAGTACGTTTTCTTCTAGTATACAAAAAATAATAAATTTACATTCCGCGCCTCGTACAAGTTAAAATTATCAGTCAGCATACTTGTACTTTATAGGGCGATAAAACGCTCAGGAACTGTCTTAGTTCCCTCTCCTGAACTTCCGTTACATGTAACTGCTGCAATTACCTACAGTATCTTTCGCTACTCCGCTAACTAGTATAATTCCGCCCAGGAACACATTTACACTAATTTCTTATTCGAACGTTTGTCAGTATTTGAATAATGCTCAGTTGGTAATGTATGCAAGTATTGGTGTTAAAGCGCGGTGGTAGTCACGCAGCGCGTGTTCGAATTTCATGTAAACAAACAATGTATTTTACACACGTTGTGTATGTCGCTGTGAGTCCCATATCGAACAGGACGCGGCGCGACGACCACCGCCCTTTAAGTAAAACAACTGGGTTAAATATTATATATTATTACGAGACATTTTTCACAATCGTTTTAACTTTATGCTGTTGGTTTGCCTGTTATCTCTAGAGCAACCACGATGAATGGGATCACCTTGTAATGTTGGCTGACTTCGCACTGGCAATGATGGACACTTTAGAGGAATGTAATAAGCATTCATTTAATAATTTCAGGCTCCGGATAGGTAGGTGTCAAATACTCGTCATAGTTACGAGTAGAATGGAGCATTAAACATAGGTAAATCGATTGAACCAATGCATGTTTTTTCATGCAAAATGATCATAGAGTCCAGCTATAACTCCTGTATTAGTGCACGGTTACTAGTAACCGTGATTGGTTGACGTTTTTTTTAATTATAGGTGATATTACATTCTTTAATATGTGTAAGACTTCATATTTACGCATTTGTATAACACGTTCATTTGATATATGTAGTAACAACGTGCTTTTTTCATTTAACATTTAAATAATACAAATACACCTTTTCACCCATTTTACAGTCTTCATTACGTCACAAAAACCGAGTTGTTGCTAGATGGCGCGACTTTTTGGCATGGTGAATTTAGATTTTTGTTTACAACTCGACGAGAAGTATCCCAATCAAAACTCCAATTGCTTACCCACATACAAATTGTGTACTTTTAATTGTCTACTTCTATACAAACAGGTTTATACCAAGGACCCGTAATCGCCGGTGTTATTGGTGCCAAGAAGCCGCAATACGATATCTGGGGGAACACGGTTAACGTCGCTAGTAGGATGGATACTACCTCCATTATGGGACACGTGCAGGTCACCGAGGAAACCTATCAGATACTCTCTCGGCGTGGTTTTCGTTTCGAATATCGGGGACTGATCTACGTCAAAGGCTTGAAAGACCGGGTTAAAACATACTATTTGACTGGCCGGAGCAGGCCAGGTAGGTGTCAAAGTACAATACGGCGCATGAGCGGTCAGCATACCTTGGCAGCAATTGTTTACGGGCTTGTAAGGAATAAACAACTCCAGCAATTACACAAGGAAAACGGAACAAAAGATATCCCGGAGTTATCAGAAGGGAATATGAAACGATCAATGTACGATTTGCAAGAGGTGCCCCGGGACCAATCGTTCATGAAAGACGGCGAAAATGCGTGAAAATACGTTCGAAATTACGCGATGATCAAGTTTACCACGTGTTCACCGAGTGTGAATCTCGCCTGCCTTTCATTACGTGAATCTTGTGGTATCATTACGTGAATATCGCGTGACATCGCTTCCTTGGCAGCCACTACGCGTCAATTTCATCGACCAATTATCACGCATGCTTCTTGCGCGGCATCAACTATGCGCAAATCTAGTGTGACAGCCATTACCAGCGAGTCTCGTGTGTTCATGAAGCAGAACTCTGCCAGAATACTGCAACGTATCAAAAGCCGGTAAATCTTCGTATAATAGCGTGTGTTTGAAGCAAGCAAGCATAGTGTAGTATGGTTGGTTTATGCAAGAAGAGACCCGTCCAAACTGTACACTATATAGTTCTCGGATTAAGTTCCACAGGAGATGCATGTGTTTCATGTAACAACCAAGAGGCGTTGCTCCGGAATCAAACTCCCAAACCGAAATGGTTTTGATGGACAAACGCATATTATTTATAAATATACTTCTGATGCCTCAAGGCCGCACGTACATCACCACGGACAGAAATTTAATCTCTCCGCCGCAACGTAGATGTCTGAGGACCTAACCATTGTATCTAAGACACAGCGGTGTGTGATTATTACTGTCTTACCGTTGACTTTTAATTGAAAATACGTGTGCATCAAATAAAAAAATATGGAGATGTAAAATATACCGTTTTATATAAATAACAGATGAAATAAATTGCCTGTCGGGTTCTCTTAGTTTGTTCTTCCGTCATCGCCCTTGATAATGTTCATAACTTTCAGTTTGTCGATTATAATCATGTTCTTAGTGTAACGGTGACTTACCAGGCTTGTTAAGGAATTGATTATACGAGTATTCCGATTGTAAAGTATCATTAAAGTGCGATATCTGGCTGAAAATAATTCTCTACTTTTCTGATTACGAATATCCACTTGATTTCTTTGGAATGCCAGTAAGTAGCATTAGCGGAAATGATCGGCATCAGTTAATGAATGTAGAGGACTCAACCGGAATGCATAATATTTTACCATCAAACAGAATGGATTTATTATTAAAAAAATGTTATTAGAAAATTCAATGATCAAAAAGATGCTTCGATGTCGGGGAACATTAAACGTTATCAGCTGAAAATCATCTTTTAACGCCAGATCTAGAAAATTGTATTATGACATCATTGCTGTCCCGGGTAGAATTATTTGTACAACTCCTGAGTCAATACGGGGAACACGTGACTGCCATCGTGTTCCACATTCCTGGTTCGCAATCGATCTATGTATATCAGAGCCACTTTTGCTTTTACGTATACAATTGTTACAAAAACAGATCGGTGGCCATTTTTTTTTATCTTCTCAAACCCATAACGTCCGGGTTATCTCTTAATGTATGTTGCATGTGCCGGTGGGTATTTATAGCGGTCGGTATTTATTCCGGGGCAACCTCAATCTGAGAATTTAGTGGTCTTCTGTGCAGATGCGTCCCTTTTAGCGTTATCCTCAGTTCTGTATGTTTCAAAGCTAGAGAAGAGTGACTCGTATCCTGCTGTCATCAGCTTTCTTCCGCTTTTTATGCACCTTAACACGTGGTCTGTAAAATAATTACAATGAAGATTGTTATTATAGCGCCACAGTCGTAGTCACCGAAGCGCGCGTAAACAAACATTGTACGTTACGCGAGAAAACTTGACGCGGTGCGACGCCAATGGCGCTGTGAGAATGAACAAGTTGATCGAGATCAATTTGTTGGCATGTGACGAGTCGGTCCCGACCGTTCAAATACATTTCGGCTCGTGCCGCCCCGCCCCTGGTTCCATGCCATGTATAACAAATATGATTGTACTTATTCTGATGCGTATTCAACAATATATTACGTGTCACGTGCAATTTTCCAGGATAAATGCATTATGGGAGATATCCTTACTATACGTGTATGCAAGCTCAGTTTTTATAAATGAAATGTACATCATGTGTATTAAATAGATCTATATTTCAAGAGCAAGATTTTAAAAATGGGCTAATTTTTTCAGCGTCATGTACGAAGCTTTTTTCTATTTTTCTAATGGACATATTGATCATTAAAAAAATATGTGCCTATCATCGTTAAATGAAAAAGTAATAAATTTAAAAATATTATAAATAACAAATTTATTTACAAGTTTGACAATTTTCTGTGTATAACCACCACGGGTTCTAGATTTGTTATAACTTCCAGGCGACGACAAACGTTGCGCATCGCGTCTAGGAATTCAATATAAACAACGTCTTTTCACACGCAATGTATACGCCACGGTAACATGGGACCCGTGTATCAAACACAGCGCGGTGCAATAACTGTAGCGCATTATAGAAATTAACAAGACGTAAAACGCACAAACCTGTGATTTCATTGAAATGCGTTAGGAGTAATTGTACAGTCACGAATAATGTGAAGGTTTTAAAAGGGTTCAAGAAGTTGCTATTGATAACTACGCGAGTATAAGTATGTCATGGTTGGCATGGTATTATGAGATAGACGGTTAATCAGGTAAAAACCGTCTAAGAATGAAACGTCAATGACTCTGAAGTACTATGTGTAGCGATGTTGCTAATACCTGAAACAGATACGGATTTATAAGAGATAAGTTGTATTCGAAGATGAAAAACTCCCGGTAATTTAGACATTTCTATAAGTCGCTCAGTGATTACGTCACTTCTATGACGCCACTTGAATATGTTTGATTGTGTAGTCATTTACTATATAGAAAGTACCTCAAAATAGCAGTTTTCAATCGAAACACAACCACTTATCAAAACATTATCGGTGCTGTGAACAGCATTTTTTACACCATTCACATCATGGAAGCGCCTCGCCTCTAGAGGACGCTTCGCGGACCTTTTCATCATACACTGGGCTACGTCCCTGAAATTAAAAAAAAAATGCCATCAACTCTTTCATAATATCATGCTAGGACAGATACCGTACCTTACACATTTAGCCAATAGCTGTGGATCGACTCGTTGTCGTCGTTCTAATGGAGAAAATAACCGCACAATTTCACTGGCGATGATACCCACTACCAATGTGATAATAAGATTCACTGGAGTAAATAAGTAGAAAGATACCTAACAACCAAATAATAAGAAGAATATCTATCAGATACAGCCCGAGTGTCTATACAAACTATATAGTTGAATCGTCAAAAATGGAATTAAGTTTTCTGTATTTAGAAGAAAATAAATAAAACGTATTGGCCGGTGCTATCATTACAGCTAGTATTATATATTTACACGAGATAATTTTTCATCAATTGGCGATTACTGACCATCCATGATGCAATACGATCAAAGATGGCTGGGCCACTTCCGTTTAAAGTTTTCATTATTTAGAATCATGAAAAAGGTTTATCAGGAAACACGATTAAACATATTAACAACATGTACTGTGTTTTGAAGTATAACATTAGAATATAGCTGATTGTAGCGCCGCCAAGTGACAGGATTCACGGGTGAATATGACGATAGGCTCGTTTAACATGCCGACTCACGTTAAAGACTGGTAAAGGCGGAATTCCGTGTGACTGGAATATCAAAGCACCGACAACAATGAACATTCCGTACAGTACACCGACGGCTACACCAGTGCCCACGCCCCTGAATAAAAGAAGGAGATAATTGTCATCAAACACTAGCAATAGAATAACAAAATGTGGTTAGGTTTCATTCTAACAGCTGGTAAACAGAATGTTTCAAAACATGTACGTAAAAATGTGTGGGAGAACGAAGTCGTCCAGACCATTTTTTTTCTAAAAGACCCTCCAAGTTAATAAAAAAAAATAATCGACAAAGAAGGTCTTCTCCATCAATTTACCTAATCACTGTGTTTGTTTTGGACCGAATACCTTTTTAGAAGTTGCTAAAGATCAGTTACCAGAAACATTCTGACGATTTTGGCTGCATTTTTACATCAATTGCTTACTGATGAATGAAATACATCGTACCGGGGGTATATATTAAACCTGCGGTAGTTTACGCTATTTGCGTTGGGGACGTGTTATTGACAACGACTTGGAGGCATATTGGAGGCATATGTATGTATGTATATATATATATATATATATATATATATATATATATATATATATATATATATATATATATATATATATATATATAAAGGATTGACACTGGGCCGCCATGGATATAGGCGGATGTTTGTAGGATATAGAAGGAATCCTATTGTTTATACCACCTGCAGTTTTTTTTATTTTTTTTTTTTTGCTCTCTCGCCACATTGTTTGGTCATTTGTATTTTAGTAAATCGATATTTAATCCGATAAAACTAATTGAATACATACGTCACTATGAATCTGAAATACAATTATTCGACAATTCTGAAAACAGAGATAGATAACAGCAAAGTCCATTTACTACAATGTACAGCCATCATATAGACAAGTGTCTGATCAAATACTGTAGCACCTTTAACAAGCAAAATGTCAGCTAGATATTCATCGGAAATAATGAAAAATGTCCAATGACAGTCGAAACGTGTGTTTTCAATTCATTTTGCACATCAGGTTTTACCCGAACTTTGTATGATGATCCAATATTTTTTTTTTATTTTCCTCTACTCATCGTCTCGTTGTGTAAAAATAGACCTGCAGTATGCGTACCATTTTTACACTACACAATGGAACTGCCTTGGCTTGGACGTCTGGCACCGGATCCATTAAAACACAATCGCGCTATAGTGGCGGAATTATAAACAAATTCAATAAGATGCAGTCATGTGTGAGGGCGGTATATCTAATGAGTGCAAATTATTCGAAGTTTAACACATATACGATGCAAAGGTATGTATATGCAAATTTGACGAAGCGAAATAAGGAAATATGAACATCAAATGGACGTGATCCAAACAATCGTTTTCGCGTTAAGAGACAATTTAAAAAAAAAATATGTCGGTCGACGGAATGCTGAAATCGACACGTACAGCAATGCGAGAGGGTTTTTCTAACTTTCAACTTGACGGGAAAATATGAAATTGACACAAAGTTATACAGTCAACTCTTACATTTCCAGTTTACAGATGTGATTATAATTGATAATAAAATATAATCTAAATAACAAACAAACTTACAATGAGTTTGCTCTGGGGTAGAGCATTCCAAGTAAAAAAATGGCGGTCAAGGGCGTACTGAACACGCTGATGACGTTCAATGTTATCTCCATAAATGTGACCATATACGGCAACCCAACGGCGAATAACGTGGTTGCACATCCACATACAACAGCTGGAAAAAGCGAACACTCGTTAATATACGCGAGTAAATTAATTAAATCTTTGCCCTAAAGAGAAATTGGCGTTAATTACAATGAACACATGTGCGAATTTTCTCTCGAGCATATTAAAAAAAAACATTAGCTGTTAGTTTTTGATTGAGCTGTTCGGCAAGTATAAACATGACTATGTCTTCAATATTACCAGATGTTTTTGTGTAATGGAATATCCCATTGGTAGATTGACTCTTCAGATACAGGCATTAGTCGTTGCCCGAAACTACTTCTTGCTAATATATTATATTAATCGGCCCCATTATATATTGCATATCTATAATTTGAATAACACGTGTAATTTCGAGGGAATTCCATGTATCTTTTTTCACTCACTCACCAACAATTCAAACAAGGTTATTGATGGGACATTTGGGTGTCTGCCTATATGTCTATGTCTGCGTATATTTCATAATATATACAGTAAATAAACAGTATGATTAATATAGTCCTGACAGTGAAAGGCAGTAAATATATAACGATCAACCTGATTTGCCAAACAAGACAAAGCTATTGCGTAATTATCGTGTTTGTTCACATTTAAAGAGATTGAGCCTTGTCTATACTTAGCGTACTGTCTATGATTTCCTTATAAGTTCACGTGACTTATTTATATCCATTTCTCAGCGTTATATCGTACAAGTTCAAATACACGAGAGTTTACGTGATACTTGATATGATAAAACAAGCAGTGGCATAACAGCTCGAGTCACCGAATACGGTCACGGTCGTCCGACATTTTGCGGAAAAAAAGTGTACAAAAATAACATACAATAAACGAGTTCGGAAACTTGAGCTCTCAAACGATGAAATGTACAAAGATTTTAATTGAGCCTAATTAAACTTCAAATAAATAAAATAAAATTTGTTTATTTTTTAAACAAATTCTTTTCTCGTTAGACTAGTATGTAATCAGCCATTGCTTGGAACAATTTTAAAAGTATATGCAAATTTCGCGAGCACTGGAGCGATCATTCTATGAAATTTACGAATCATTCTACTTAAATGTCGTGCACATTTAGTAATGTGGACAGACAAAACAACAACACTTACTGATGATTTGAGAGATAAGAGTGTCACTATCGCCATATAAGGTCATTAGTTCATCAGTGCTTCTATTGGAACCACGTGATCGCCATGGATATACTATGTCACACAGGATGACCGACGAGACAGCGTTAAGACCAGATGACATGGTGCTGGAAAGATGGGAAAATAACGATTTAGAATTTCAAATATATATTTATAAACACTTGTCAAACGAACAAGTACAAATATGTATATATAATTATTAAGGTTATTTGTTAAATTGGGAAAAAGAAATATTGAGAAGAGTGGAAGTCTGTTACAACATGCACTGTGTGGTTCTCTCTCTACTGTGTCGCTCAGACTTGCTCATTAATAACATTCGCATAAGCCTTGTCTTAAAGGGTGGTGGTCGTCGCGCAGCGCGTGTTCGAATTTCATGTAAACAAACAATATATTTTACACGCATTGTGTACGTCGCTATGAGTCCCATACCCAACAGGACGCGGCGCGACGACCATCGCCTTTTAACCATCGCCCTCGTATCACATGTTTTTTTTTTTTTTTTTGCGCAATTTCCGATTCCAAATAAATGTGCCACGCGCGTTATGTTGACACAAAGTCAACGGCGTCAGAATATTAAAATGACTCGTGACATCCACCTTTCCTGTACATGTGGTAGCAAACAATTGTGCTTTTAAAATGTGGGTATTTGAGCGTAAAACTATTGGGACAGTAAAAGTTGAAAATGAGAAAAAATATTAAATAGCTATACAAAACCATTGACATCAACTATTGAAGATAAAACAGAGGATAGATGGATTTCAAAGAACTCTATTAGAAGGACAAATAAATAGAAGACGGAGAGGCAGGTATAAACGACAACGGATGGACAACACAACACATGCAAGTGCCTCTCATATTGTTAATGCGTATTTATTACCTAAGAGCGCCACCAAACAGACATGAAATGAAAAATCCTTGAATGCCAGGTAAACTTCCTAGTTCGCCACTTACAAAATAAACAATGATCTGGCGGGAAAAGAGATAAGTTAAAGAATGTGTGGGTTTGTTGCGGGCATAATATCCGATTATGTCAGTCATTTTTAGCCTCGTTCGCAGTCGGTTTATGACGCGCGTGCTCACTGTTTCATGCATATTCATAACAGGACCGATTTTCACGGTGTTTCAAACCAAACACTTATCTGTGCGTGGGTGCGTTGATGTGAAAGATAGACATCTGAAGAACAAATGATGCGATTACTGCACGAATGACTGCGAACGAGACAATATACTGTATGACTAGCTCGTTCAAAAATAGCACACGACACTAAAACCTACAACTGCGGCGAAGAGTAATATATTATATCATATCTGAGATAGTATTTGTATTCATTAATAAGGCCACACTGATTTAATTTTATGGATGACATCCTCTGGAGACCCCAAAACTAATGCGAGAGGCCTAGGCGAAAAAAGAAAAAAACCTGCTAAAAAAAAAAAAAAAAAAAAAAAAATCCTGCTAAAACCACAGGACTACGGAGCTGGTATTACGAATTGAACCACAGAACACAGTGTATCAACAAAACAACAAGAAGTCTTTATTTGTAGGAGGCACATATTGATGTACACATCTCGTACTGTATTACTGTCACACGTATCATCACCGTTGATTTTGAAAAGGCAAGAGAATAAGGCAGACGTTAGCTTTGCCAAAGGCATACACATCAACTCAATAATAAAGAAAAACTTACTGTGTTGTATTGAAACAAAAAAAAAATGAATTAAAAATGAACAATAAGTTTGTCAACAGCAAAATGGAAATTAACTTCTTTGACATTCAAACTACAGCTTTTAAAGTGACACTTCAGATAGACTAAGTGTAGACAAATTATAAGAGGTTCGATATTGAAAAAAACACCAACAGAGAGTCAACAAAAATTTGGATGCAGAAAATTATGTACATGTATCTTGATGACCGTGTGTGCAAGCAAATTACCCGAATCAGAAAATGGAAAAAAAATAATAAGAAACGTGGGACAGCCTCTCTGGACAATATGTCCTTAAATGTTGTCTGGGCGAAACTCACTTGCCGCTACCAATTTCTCGTATAGCTGTGTAAACGTTACATCTCCCTGGCCGATGTCAATTGCGTACTAGTCTACAACAATTTTTGCTGAACTTTTATGCTCATTTGTTTTAGTGGCGTGGTCGCCATGGTGGAATTCCCGGCAACGAATACGTATGTGCAGAAGATCATTTACGACAAAATTGGTACGTTTTGTGGTTGTCCAAAACGAGTTTTACGACAAGCCAGCGCTTTGCGACAATATGAGTCGGGAATTTCGGAAAGAAAATCGATCTGTGGAGACGCGTCGTCGGAAATTTTATTTATTTTTTTTTTTTTTTGTTGAGAACAGGCGAAAACTAATGCGCGCGCGGATGTCATCCATAAAATTAAGTCGGTGTGGCCTAATAAACATTACGGAACATCTTTGAAGCTTTTGTAAAGTTAAACAACACACCGCAATAATAACATAGGAGCTTCGAAGAAAGTTATTAATATCTAAGTCCATATAACAGATTTTCAAATTAGATAACACTGACGTATCGACGTTGGGTAATATTAATGTATTGAAATTGCTCCTTACAGTACCTGTTCTGGTTCCTTATAATTGGGTTCATAACGAGGTGCAGTGACGTCATCTATATTGCCTGGGGAAAAAAAATATGAATGTACATTCAGTCTGTTCTACCGCGGCTATTGAACTCTCGCCTGTTCTGCCGACACACGCATTCGAGTTTCAGACAATTCGATCTCTCCGCCATGAAGCAATTGCTTTCACGTGTAGGTGAAACGCGTTGCTACAATAGGCGACGCAACGCAAAGCATGCATACACATTTAACATTTTTACGAAACCCGGGCCAATCTACAAATGAAAAACATATAATATAAATAATACTCACTTAGAGTGTCGGTATTATTCACAGCAGGAATTAAGGCAGTCAATTTATCTATGATGCAGACAAAAGATAATGTAAAGGTGTTAGATATTTCGTTATGTGTCATTCATGTTATTATTAAAGCATTACCTTCGATATATTACGTAACTAACTATCTTTTGGAAACATCAACCCATGAACATTAAATCGAATTAGTAAAAAACATACTTCTCCCATATTTGTGGGGTCGTATAGCCAAGAATATGCAAGTTGTTGTTGTATACAGCTTTAAAATATATCAGCTATAATAGCGAATACAAATAAGGGTAAAGAGAAAAAAAACGTATCCAGTATCGACCGTTTTATATCTAATCTTTATTTAAGCCATTTCCGAAAAAACGACCTCACGAGTTATACATTTTAAATTGATTTTTTTTTTCAATTTTTTTGTGAAAACATCAGCCTATTAAATTTACAGTTCTTTATTTGGTTATTTGGTTTAACCTTGAACCCCGATAGTTCACAGCTGTTAGACATAACACTTACTGTTATAAAATGCATACAGAGCTATGCCAGTGGAGGCAAACATCAAAATCCGTAAAGCTTCAAGGGGCAACGCCAGAAGAGTCGACCTGCAATAGAAACATAAGGCGTTAGAAAGCTGCGTTCACATTGAAGCCTTCAATATATGAAGCAGCTGTGTTGTCATGTACCAAACACAAATCGTACGGCATTCACAGGCCACCGGACATTCCGTGCAGATACGCGCTTTCTAGGTTAGCGTGGAGAACACCCGAAGACAAAACTGGAATTAGACCATCAGTGATAACGCCGTAATTTTTAATTTAGTTCACGATCAAAGTTAGTGCATATTTCAATAAATTTCAACACAAAATGTAAGTAAAAATAACGTTAATCAAGAAGTTGTTGCAAGCAATACTGAGCCTAAACATAATGTTACATTCAGACATCTATCACTTCCGTTTCATTGTGTTGCAATGCATCATGGGCTGAATAAGATTATGTTCCACATAGCTACAGTCCCTATGCCATAAAGTAATATTCTTTCGATGAAACAATAAACTACGAAAAACCATGTGCTTTACATTAATGGTGCGTACTTATAATTCAACATCATCCATAAGCGCACAAGCACATTATTCCACTATAAAAAAAAGTATGCATGCATGTTTGTGTGTTACAAAACTACGTTTTTAGTTAGCGTTTATAAATAATATTACAGGTGCGAAAACATAAATTGCCATATTGTGTTAATTAGGATTATAGCTGTTTTTCTGTTACGTTATTAATCACTGTCAGAATAACAATCTACAATCCGAACACAATATGCAGGTGATTATTGAGAGTAAAATTAGAACAACATCCATTAGGTAACTGACGTCGATAAAACTGTGCTGTGATTATAATAAAGGTTTCTAACACGGACTGTTGCATACAGTTGCCCATATTTGGAAATTGCGTTACGTCATTGCTTCAATCAAGCCTTGAATCTGTATAATATTTTATGTTAAATTTTGTTATGAATATCGACCAACATTTCCGGTGTCAGTGTCTATGTCACGCGGTGTGGCTGCGTTCGACTCGGGGTTTGGTCGTAAAACAATACCATAGGCGGATTACACACCTACTACACATTGATGGAATACCATAACATAACAACAATGCGGTTCTCACAGCGCCATGTTGGGTTATGTCGCTAGTTTCGCTAGTTTGCGCTCCTAAGATTCGCAAACTATCTCGCCTGAATACCGACTTCTCCAATATGGCTATGTTCATTGATATAACAGTAACTGGGAGGGACATCAGATGACGGTGTGTGGTTATATGCGATAGATTAGTTACGTATTAACTATAATAATATGTCGAGCTTACTTTTGTGCAGTCCTCGATGTGCTTGCACATAGATAGCGTTGTGCTATCACCTGTGATGACATGTCATTCAATACGGAGACGAGTCCACATAGAAGCAACGAAATAAACGTCAGTCGAATAGTTGGATCGAGGGAAAATCTGTTGAGAGACGTAGTAAGTTTGAAATGTGTTTATTGTTGCAAAAAATGTAATATTATTGATTATGTTTTGTGTTATTTATACCATGTGGCGATAATATGAAATCATGTGTGCATTTTTGATGTCACCATACTATGTGGCATCTATCTCCTGCGATTGGTTGTGTGCTATTATTGAAACGTTCTCATTGGCCGATCTGTACCACGTGCGGACCTGTTATCGGACTCAAATAGTCCACCAAATTTGTAAGAATCGTTTAAGCGACAAACTCTTCGTGATTCTTTCACGTTGAGAAATCGCGGCTATTTCTTATCTACAATATTACATAAGAACGTGTTTTCGCGGGTCGCCTGCTGGTGAACGTTCTAATCGTAACTGAAACACAACCACAGTATTCTCAAGGTACTAATTTTTTCGTCATTTTCGGGCAATATGATTGACGCAATGTACTGTGGGGATATTCGCTTAAATATTAGTGTCGACGGCGTCTCGCTCATTGTTGCGAACATCTCAGTTCATACCCTGTTATTTCAGCAATAATGAATCCTTCATAGCGTCATAGTAAATGAGGAGACAAATCCAATAGGACGCTATCATAATGGAAGATTGTTACCGATCGAATCGGACAAATTTACTTAATGTTTGGGGCGATTTGTTGAAATGAATTTACTTGTGAATAGAGGTTTCCACTATGGGAGGTTATTTTAAAATTATTACGTCATATAATCCCTGAATTCTTATATATATAATGTTGATTTAAAACACACAATAATAGACACTGCGGGGTATTTTATTTCCAAAATAATCTACATATATAAATACAGCATTATTTTTATTAGTTTGGTAATTTGATGAATATATTTCTTGAGGAAATTCAGAAATGTAACTGAATAGAAAGTGTTAATATCTCTGGTAGTTCGCGAAATATCAGTCAAAAAGTGTGTTTATTTCAAAGCCGTACGCGTTTTGCTAGTTCTAATATCGTAGCTCTACCTGAAAGTTGGCAGCGTAGTGTCTTACTGCGAAAGACGCGGATTTGTTTAGCAAACAATCGGTGAATAGGCTAACGTCTCCAGCATACAATATTAATCAGAGAATCGGCCAAAAGTGGGCAAATGGGGTGCAGGGTTTGTTAAAATGCCTCCGCGCGCACAATCAGAGAAACAAGTCAGAGAAACAGGTACACCAATCTGCCAATCTGGTCACATCCACGGGTAACGAGAGTGTTGTCACGACGAACCTCCCGATCGCTATAATAATGCAACATGGCGATAGTTTAATGAAACGCAATGAGAGTCAAAATCAGTACAGCCAACAAGCAGCGCAGGTAAAAATAAACAGAGTTAAATAAAAAACAGTCACGGAACTATCAAGGGGGGATTCTTCTCTCTGGGTTCTCCACACGTGTCAGGGGGGGAATCTCGTCTCGTCTCTATATCTCGTCCCCTTGAGGTGCGGGATCGGGTAAGTCA